AATCACAATGATGGAGATCACACATGAAGCACCTTTGTTCAAGAGTGCCAGAAAATGTGAGTCATCATTGGTTTACCATGGCTGGAAATGTGAGCACCTCTCAGTGGTGAAGAATTTTGGGAAACGTTGGGGGGAAATGGCCATGGAGTCAAAGCACAGCTAACCAGCTTTCCTTCTTTGGAGCACAGGAGGAGATGCATTTCTCGGTTGAAGATCATCGCGCAACAAGTGATTAGAGGCGGCAGGGAGGGACCTTTTCCAAGAGGGACCATGGTCTTCCTGGTGGAGGCTGGAAAAAGAGGTGGACTTCCTGGTGGAGGCTGGGCAGGAGAAGGACTTCCAAGGGCCCCCTGTGCTCTCCGCCGAGCAGCCTTGCAGAAGTGGTGAGCGGGGTTCTAAAAGCGGGGATTAAAATTTAGGCAGGAGGAATTCAGAGGGATCAGGTGGAAACGCCGTCCCATTGTCTGTTTGCACACTCGACTGTTCCACAAACACCTACAGACTTTGCTGCCTTTTGCGTGAAGGTTCAGGAGCGGCCGAGGAAGAGCTACCTGGGCTCCTGCTGAAGGAGAAGCGAAGCTGGTAGAACCTCAAACCTTGCACTGATTTGCTGCCGTTTAGGAAGAGCTGCAGGATGCAGAACTGAATGGAAAGATTTGGGAGCCGAAATGGTCAATGGCTCCATCTTAAATGCCTGCCTCACAACGTGGAATGTCGGAGGGGCTGACAGAATTTGAGCCGGGAGACGACGGGGCTGTGGTCTTCAAACGAAATGCCTGGCGGGAAGGAGCTTACGCTGGGCAGGATCCATTAGAGGAGCATACATGCGCCTCTCCAGAGGAGAATGCGTTAGGGGAAATGGGGAGGGGGAGAGGGTGTGTGACTTCTGTGACCCCCCTGGAGCTCTCATCCGAGCTGTTGCACCCTGCAGTGGTGGAAGGAGTGGGGCTGGAGCAGGGGTTCTTCTCCTAACTCTCTGGGCCAGGTGAGGAGAACCCTTGCTGATCCCCCTTGGAATGAGGCTGTGGGGCCCATCAGCTCCTTTGGGCCTGGCCTTCATGAATGGGATTATGGGCAGGAGTTATTTCGACCTCATAAGACACCCGTCCATCTCAATGTCAGCTACAGCTTCCCTTTCCTGTAAGGGGGACGGAAGGGCATCTCTGAATAGCCCCAGATTGCAAAGGCCTGGATGGGGTAGAACCAGCCCAAGGCAGGGAAGAGATTCCACGCGAGGCTTAGAGAAAGGCCTCTCCTTCTCTCCCTTAAGAATCTGGCTTGTGGGCCCTCCTGGGTCCAGACTCCGGGCTGGCACCCTTTGGCCATCAGTGGACACTTAGCGTGGCATCTGCTAGGGGCACTTTGAGGACTGGCGGTTAATTCTGATTTTCCTATGGCCGCGTGGTGGGAAAGAGGCCACTGGAACCGAAGGAAATCCTCTCTTCATTATTTATTTATTTAATTAATTAAATGTATTGGCCGCCCAGCTCCAGTGGGCTTAGAATATATTACTTTGCTTACTCAGGCCTTTTAACCGTTTAAACTGTTTAAAATTTAATTATTTAAAGTGCATTGTTTTATTGCTTTAATAAAGTTTTAAGGTTGTTTTTACTGTAATGATGTTTCTGTGGCTTTAATTGCATTTCTTCAAGCCGTCCTGACCTGTTAAGGAAATGGGCAGCAGGCCAACATTCAAAATAAACAAATGCGTAAGAAATGTGGCTGGAGCGGATATCAAGCCTGAAGAAAAGAAAGAGAGGATTTTACCTGCAATTCATAAGTTCAAACGTTTCTTCAGTAACAAGAATTCTTCTTCCTTTCAGACTGAGCTCAGATAAAGGAGGGGGGGGGGCTTGGCTGACGGGCATCAGACGACAGGATTTTTTTTTTAATGCTGAATTTAAAGCTGAAGAAGCTTCTTGGATGCGAAGCGAAACGTCTTCAAAGAAAAACCAGGAAGTCCAGTTGCCCCTTGAAAAGAGACCACCTTTGGGGTGATTTTACAGGTCCAAAGTCACCTCCTGAGCTCTTGACCTGTGGGTCTTCTGCCTGAATCTCCCCAGACCTTCAGATTTCCTCTAGCTTCTCTTCTCCAGGCAGACGGGCCTCCCATCCCACTTGAGAAGTTGGGGTCTGCTACGCAAGGCTTCCCCTTGGTTCCCATCGGGGGCTTTGGAGTGGAGCCCGAGTCTCAGAATATGCAGAATTCCACCATCTCGCTGCAAAGGGGACCCTTCGGGCTTCCTCTTCCCAGGTAGACAGGCTGGTGAGATTGAGGGGCCCCTGGTTGGTGCTCTCTGAGCATGCCTGTTTTCTTGCAGACATTTCATTACCAAACTAGGCAACATCATCAGTGCTAGCCTTGTTGATGACACTAGCGCTGCTGATGACGTTACCTAGTTTAGAGTAATGAAACCTCTGCAAGAGAGCAACCAAGGGCCCCTCATTTCAACCCTGAGCTACAAATATTCTCCTTTGTTGTATATAAGAGTCGGTTGGAAGTGGAGCAAAGCTCAGTAAAGCATTGAAATAATAAAAGGCAGGTATTTTAGCTCAGGAGCCCCGTGCAGAAATAAAGGAAGGGAAGGGAAGGGAGCGAATGGGGAGAAGAGCTGGGGATTGGACCACTGCATGCGTGGAAGACACTGGAGGCCTGTTGATTGACAGCCCAGCTGAAGACTTCATTTGAAGGGCCTGCTAGTAGAGAGGGGGAATCAAGTCTCCTCCTTCCTCCTCAGCGGGCAGCCTAAGTGGAGATCTCAGCCCTTGAACATCAACTGGGAAAGATTCAGAGCCAGTTCCTGGAATGGCGCAACAGCGCCCCCTACAGCATCTAACTGAAATTGAGTTTCTCCAAAGGGGGAAAAGTGCTCAAATCATCCCAAGTCTCCCGAATTGCAAAAGGGAAAGAGGACTCTGCACCTTTATCTCTTCACCAAAAGTCACAAGGAAAGCAGCCAAGGGAATATTTTTATTTTATTTTCCGGCTCAGGTCAGGACATTTTTTCAAGCCATATATAAACTCAGGCGGAAATCCAAAAGCCGCCCCAAAAAGGAGTTTCTTCAGCCGGTCCTTATTCCTCAGCCTTGCCCATTGGAGATGTGGGCACAGGGACTCCCAGAGTGGCATGGCCAGCACGGCCGCCGGGGGAATTATTGTGGGGTTGACATCCACACACCTTAAAGTAGCCCAGGTTGAGAAGCCCTGAGCTAGGCTGACAATACTCTTTCGGTTTAGAATTCCGTGTGTACGGTTGTTGCTTTTTTATATTTTAATGTATAATTCCTTTTTTTTCCCTGGAAAAGAGGCATTTGGCCTTCCCTGGGAATCCCTCCCCTGAACGCCTCCGCGTCAAGTCTGCCTGGTTACACAGCTCTCCGGATCGAGGCAAGCGAGGTGTGCGAAGCTCCCCACCTCCCTCTCCCAAAGCCTCTTCCTGTTTTGCCAGGGCTGGGCTGAAGGGAGGTTCAGGGGCTGCCCCTCCTAACAGCTTCTTACGCGGAAGGGGCCCACCAAGAGGGCCTGGAACGATCCCCCCTTCCAGATAGTAGCACTGAGACAGAATAAGGAGTTTGTCCCCCTTGTAAGAACGGCAGCTGATCATATCCTGGAAGAAAAAGGGGAAGGGAAGACTTGAGTCACTTAGGAATTAGAGAAAAGGATTGGCAAGAGGTTTGTGGAACTGCACCAGGGGAAATCTGAAGGTTTAGTCTTGTTGAAAGGGAAACGTCCTTCTGGGTTCGGCTCCAAGTGGGGGAAAAGACACTGGAGACATGGAGGCTGCTTGGAAAGTTGGTTTAATGGTGGACAGGGCCACATGGCTTGAGTCCTGAACAGAAAAGGGGATCACATGCTTCAATGTTGGTGGAGAAGAAAAGAGAAGGAAGGACTGAGATGCTGAAAGTCCCTGGTTTTATGCCCTCTCTGGCCTTTGATCTTGAGCTTGTATTCTGATGGGTTGTGAGACCCCCATGGAGCCATGCAGGCAGGGGCAACTCTCTAGGCTGCGTTTTGAATCCAGGTTTGGTTGAGTTCTCAGATGCCATGTGGGGAGTTGGGTAAAAGGGCCAATATTATCATGCCTTAATCCCATCCCNGGCTCTACCAAGCTCTGAACGTTAGGAGGAGTTTATGAAGGTGAGCTTGGTGCAACTTACTGGCTCCTAAGTTGGCAATGCTCTGCCCTCAAAAGCTTGGCCAACTCGAATGAGCTGTAGCTCCCGTTTTCCAAAACCCTGGTCACCCCGGCCACCTCCTTTCGCTTCCTGGGAGCCAACAGGGGGGGGGGAGGCAAGGGGGCTGCTCTTCAGCAAGGACACCCGGATGCTCAACTGTGGATGCTCAACCGTTACTTACAGCTTGTAGCTGTTGTCCCAACCTACCTTGCAGGGTTATAAGGACAGGAGTAAATGCGCTGCCCTGGGCTGCAAATAAATAATCTTTCTTGGTTTGGAGGGTTGAATTTGCTAAATGTGGGTTCTTGCAGCGCTTTGATGGATCTGCAGCTCTCTTTGCCTCCCTTCAGTCATGCCAGGAATGGTTTCTCTTCCAAGGAAAAGAAATTCAGGCAATGCAAATGGAAGTGTCCAAACAATTCCGCCTTTCCTCATTTTTATTTTCCCTCCCCTTCTATACCTTCCCACAGCACCCTCCAAAAAATCCCTTACCTCTTCTGAGCTTTACCCTTTTTTGACTCCAACCTTGCCATCCTGCTACGGGTTTAACCCCTTCTAGTCCTTAGTCCCTGCGTCTATTTCCTTGTGATTAATCTATTTGAATATGTTAATAGCGAAAGGAGTTTTAAAATTTAATAGACAATAACTGAAGATATCCAACCTAACATCTTACATTAAACCTTCATGATTTGGCTAATTCAAGGGACCCACCCTTGGTCTGGGTGTGAAGATCCCTGGGGAATCCCTTGGAGCAGGCATGGAGGGCTGGTTTTACCCAATGCCCTTTCTGCCCCCCCCCACACACACACACAAGGCATGCATACCTCTCTGAGCCATCTGCGCCCCTGGGCTTAAGAGGAGCAGCCCAAGGAATAAAAAGAAGGGGTGCACTGGATTCATCTCCAAACTGAATTATTTTTGAAACCATAGAGAAGCACCGATTGTCCGTCCAGGTTGAAAAAAACGTATCCTCTCAGTTTGTTCTCTAATGCAACTTTGAGACATGCAAACAATTTTCAAAACATGGAAGAATTTAGCCTTTCGACACATGAAGTGGGCTGCAGATAGAAAACAATGGGACACCCTGGAGCTTCTCTCAACCTTAGCAACATCAAGATCTGTGGACCTCAACTCTCAGAATTCTGGGGGCAGAAGTCCAGAGATATTAAAAGTTGCCGAGGTTGAGAGAAGCTCTGGAGTGCCAAAATTTATACAAATCTTTCTTGCACCTTTCCTCAAAAGCACCCCCCCCCTTTATAGTTATGCAAAGTCTTTTCCACAAGCACCAAGCCAGATCCTGTCAAGATGAACCCTTCAGAAAAAATTTGGATTAATTAACGTAACAAGAAGCAGCCCCGTATTTAGTCCTCTTTTCTTACTGATAGATTATTATTCAGCTATTTTTCCTAATGCCTAATTTCCTAATGAAAAGAAAAGCTCCTTTGGAAAAAAATATGCCTAGAGAAGCACGGCTCATCCATTGTTAGGGAAGGTCTAAAATTAAGGATGTAAGCTCATGCAACTTAATCATAATTATAGCCTCCGCTGGGTTGGAAATCCTGTGCAATCAGGATTCCTAATTTTGCAGATTACAAAGTTAATCAGACCTTCACAAGGGGAAAGACAAAGAGGGAAGTGAAGGAGGGGGGAGAGGGGGGGGAGAGAAAGGTGTGAAATGCTCTATCTGTGTGCGACCTATTAAAGCAGGTCTGTCTATTTGCAGGATTACACAGTTGTGGTATATGCTCTTCTGCACATCCAGAAACACCTTCTNGGGAATTCTGGGAGTTGAAGTCCACAGGTCATCAAGGGGCCACAAGTCCCCCCCTCCAAAGTAGGAGGTAAATAGAGGAAAGTCTGGAAAAGTGGTGTCAAGGAAGACTTGTGTTTGGAATGAGTTAGGATTCGGCAAGGATGTCACAATCGTCAACAACAACAACAACAACAAAGTCTTTAGAGTTGCTCAAAAATAAAAGGAAGGTGACTCAGAAGACCAGGATAACGGGAGAAGTGTCCGTTTTGAGGGTCAGAAAAAACCTACTTATCGTGGGACCCCGAAGACAGTTCCTGGAGTCCGGCCAAGTTATCCAATGTTTGTATTCCCACAGCTTCCTTAACCAGGTGAGTTAAAGACACAGCGGCTGTGAGCACACAACATACAAAGCTCAGGCTATTACTACTATAAATATATTATTAAAACTCCCGGTTCTGTTTGTTTGTTTGTAATCTTCAATTAGGGAAAATGGTCCATTGTGGGGCAACCATTTATGAACCGAAATACTTGAAATGAACATAAGTTTTAACTTATTTTTAATGCGGTTTTTAAGCGATGTTTTTATTCACGTATTTACATGATTTTATGATGTTGGTGCAAACCTTCCAGAGTCTCATAGGTTGAGATGGTCAGTGTAGACATTTAACAATAAATGATTATCCCAGATTTATTGTAATCAATGTCTGCAGATCTTTCCATTTATTCTAATTTTCCAGATTTAACGGTTGGCCTTCCATTACAATATGAAGTGTCAACATGAATTGAATGTAAAATAAAATCTATTAAACTATTATGAATTTTTATATGCATTCTTTCACATCAGTAAATGATGATTATAATGATTCTGGGATATTAATTTGGTAAAAGCCAAGGCATATGCAGCCAGGGCTGTGGGATTTATAGGTTCTAATGCCATAATTGGAATGGAGGGAACTCCGTATTATAAAAGCAATTTAAGGATTCCTAGTATTGTTTCCCTGATTCCATTAATCATCTCCAAGGGTAATTTACTTGGTCAACTTGAACATTTCCATACATTGTGAGACTGTGGGAAGTTTCAAAGGGTCGCTCCACTTTGATGGAGTTTCCAAAAGGCTCTTCTTCTCCTTCTCCTCCTCCTTCTCCTTCTCCCTCTTCTTCTTCTTCTTCTTCTTCTTCTTCTTCT